CAGATGCTCAGGCACCTGGGGAGGCAGCCTGGTGGGGAAGAGAGCCCGTTGGATAGAGATCAGTGTGTGGGAGCTCTGCTCAGCTGTGCTGCAGACCCTCTGTAGGACGTTGGATTTCTCATGTCCTCTCTTCAGACTTCACTGCCCACCTGTCACAAGACGGCACTGGCCCCAGTGGAGGGGACTGGGAAGTGCCGGGAAGCTCCTGGGCACACTGGCCAGGCCCTCCGCATGCGTTCTCCAGCTCCCACCCCTGCTCCCAGCTCAGAGATGCTGCTGTAATCAGGTGCAGACAATCAGCTACCCAGGATGTGGTTTCCCAGGGAGCCCAAGAGGAGGGCATCCTGCAAGCTGGAGGAGAGGGCACTGAACAGCTCCTTTTCTCTGCTCCTGATCAACTTTCATGCCTTTGCTCCTCTTACTGCACCAGGAGCAGAGCTGTGTCTGTCTCTCCACAGTGATCAGATTCACAAGCAAGAAATTGGAACGTAGCAACCTCACAGGTCAAGGAGGAGAGGCCAGAGGAAGACGTAAGGGAAGCACCAGGGTACATCAGACAGGCCAACCCAGGAGCCTAGAGAGGAAGACTCAGCCTCTTGGCCCTTTCTTGGTCTTTTCTCTCTTCCTGGAGCAGCAGATGGCCACAAAGGGCAAATGAGGAGCGGAGGCCAGTTTTCAGGAGGCACCATGGAGGAGGGCAGCGAGGACTATGGGCCTGTGGGAAGGTGGCCAGTACAGATTGTGGACTGTGGGAAGATGTGGGCAACAGTGCCCTGGGCAGAGGAGAAGCCCCAGGGGATGGAGAAGATGTCCGCGGCCTCAGAGGATGGGGGCTTTGCCTCTTTGGGAGACAGCCTAGGCGTGGCTACCCTAGATGAGAACGTGAGACCTGGTCCAAGCCAGCACTGCAGGACCATCTGCCATCACCCCATCCCACCAGCTTACTAAGAGCTATCCTCATAACCCTCCTCCTGGGCCCCCCGGGCAGTGAAGTACGTGACCCATTCATCCTGCCCCCACAGCCAAGCAACAGTTCAAGGAGGATGTATCACTCAGAAAGAGAAACCAGTCAGTTTCTGGCTCTGCAAGAGAAAGAGCCAGGGCCTCCTTGAGCTGGGTTCAGGGCCTCTGCATGTGTCATGGGATATGAGCTCATCCCCACGACAGTGGGTGGGGGCTAGACAGTTACCCGGCCTCTTCGTGTGGGCCCTGGGGCCCCGTGGGATCGCTCACGCAGACACCAAGAGAATCTCCCCCATGTGCATGCCTGTCTCTGCCCCAGATGGGGCAATCTGAGGGCAGAGCATGGGGCCTCTGAGCCCCGTGAGCTGGGGCTGGGGCTCCTCCAATCCTTCCTTGCGAGCGCACGCGCACACACACACACCCACAACTCCAGGCTTCACCCTCCTCACCACACCCCGGCTCTGCCCAGTGGCCAAAGGCTCGCACACTGTCTTCCCCCAAAGCTTTCATTATGCTGTGAATCAGAGGGCGGGAGGTAGATCTGGCAGATTCTAGTCCATGGAAACCCATAAGACCGGTGTGACTTCCTGGAGCAGGGACTGACAGTCATGAGCTGGGGAGAGGCAGATTCCTCCCATGTGAGGTCAGCTGCAAAGCACAAGGCATGGGTGCCTCTTTGTGAGGGTGCTGGCTTAGTTCTGCATGGGGAAAGGGGTGGGGGGCAGGGTGGAGAGCACTTGCCCTGCCCCAGAAGATGGCCGGCCCTGTGCTAACGGGAGACCATGTGAGGTCCCAGGTGAGGATCAGGGGCCGCAGAGGGCATGAGCTGAGGGTATATCCCAGAAACAGGAGCCCTTCCATCTGTCGTTTCAGACTAAGCCCCAGGAGCACGACAAAATTACCTCAGAAATAGATCTGTTGGGGGCTTGGAGGGAGATGCCTGTGAGACACCATAGAGAAATCAGAACTTCTCAAAATTAGCCCCAGAAATGAGTATTTTCCTTGATTTTATTTTTTCTTTTATGATTAGGTTGTGAAGGAGAGAGATTAAATGATGTCCATAAAATAAGCTATTAAAGAGAAAGGCAAGTCACAATTCAATTTTGTTTATACACACACATGCATGACACTAAAATGCACTGTTCCTTCATTCTTTCCACTGATATTTATAGGCTATTGGTTATATTCGATGGTTAGGACAGGTTCTGGGGACATAGTGGAAAACACAGCAGGCAAAACTCCTGCCTTTTACAGCTTATTTTTCAATGGGAGATTTGGAAAATAAACAAGTGGACAAAAGCAAATAAAGCAGCCCTCAGTTGTTATAAGTGAAATCCAGCAAATCAGGGGATACCCTTAAGATGGTGTCCCGGGGAGTCCCTCTGCCAGGCCCCAGCATTAACTGAAACTGAAAGATGCAGAGTTAGGGATCCTGGGAGGCCCCAGAGGCGGGGAGCACTGGGCTTGTCTTAGTAACTGAGGACTCTCAGTAAGGGTCTTTGAACACTTGATAGGGAGTTTACATTTTATTCCAAAAGGCTTAGGTCACCATTGTTGCTGGTGAGGGACAAGCCAGCTCTAACCCCACCCTGAAAGTTTGCTTAAGCTACCTTCAGAGATTAGTTTAGAGAAAGTAGTGGATGATCTAGTTTTGATCTTTATGTCAGAGTGTTTGTGTGTGTGCACACACACGCATGCACACATGCTCAGTTACTTGGTCATGTCCGGCTCTTTGTGACCACATTGACTATAGCCCACCAGGCTCCTCTGTCTATGAAGTTATTAAAGGCAAGAATACTGGAGCACGTTGCCATTTCCTACTCCACGGGATCTTCCTGACCCAAGAATCGAACCCATGTCTCTTGTGTCTCCTTCATTGGCAGGCAGGTTCTTTACCACTAGCACCACCTGGAAAGGCCCCTTAATCTTGATCTTTATATCTTCATGAATTTCCCCAAAACATTGTATGAGATGTTTGTTTTTATCACCATAAAAAGTAATCCTTATTATTTTATATATTATAGATTTAATGCCTGTTTTCTTGCCTAAAGTGGTCCACTCCTTGGAGTTTTTGTGAGCTTGGCATTCTTGGGAACTTCTGTAGCTAGTCTTTAGCACAGGGCCTGGGTAGCCCCTGACACATGGTAGGAGACTCCTGCAAGCCTTCTGCTTAACCTCTAAAGTTGTCAGACTGAACCCTCCCCCATCCCAGGACAGAGTACTTCCATGCAGAATGAAGTTACAGCTATGTCTTGAGAGCAGATGCGTTGTGGGTTAGTGGCCAAGAGAATCCCACAGGAGCCCTGTTTCTTCATGAAAAGTGGCTCCTCCCACCTTTAACCTGTCTCCAGGCTGGGCATCCCAGAAAGACATGTAACTTTCTATTCTGTGCCCTGGAATTGAATCCCTCAGCCTAATAAGGAAGATAAACCCATTTTACAGGTAAAGGAACTGAGATTCAGAAGAAAACTTTGGCTGAGGTAAAAAAAAAAAAAGAGGAATAGGGACCAGTTTCCCAAGATGCCTCCCTCTCACCTCCCTGTGCCGAGGTGATGAGCCTCATGGGGGTGACTGAACCCCCAGAGCCCACTGGCCAAGCAGGAGCTGTGTGTCTCTGTGAAAAGGGGCCCTCGGGGGTTTTCTGATTAAGGTGCCTATGATGAGTCAGGAAGGGGCTAGAGGAAGTTGACCAACTGGAGTGGTGAAACCAGTCCTTCTCCTTCAACTTGGAAAGGAGGCCAGGCTGGGGAACGGTATAAAGGGCACCTCGTCCCCTGCTCAGCTCAGCACTCCACTAGAAGCCTCTCCAGCTGGCCCTACTGTGAGTCTGGTAAGTGTTTGCTGGTAGAACCAGGCTTGGGACCTGGGGCCTCCCACAGGCCAGAACGTGGCTGGGGGTGGTCAGCCTGAGGGGGTGCAGGGGTCACTCGTGTGCAGGATTCAATTGGACCACTGTCCTTCTGGGGGTGCTCAGGTCACTGTGCTGAGGGCTAGGTGCATGGCCTGGAAACAGAACAGACAGCAATCCCCTCCTGCACCGTGTTTTCTTCGGACTGTATTTTCAAGTGTGGGGGACAGGGAGAAGAGAAGAGTTAAGATAGGTGTGCAGGGGAAATATGGTCAGATTCTCTCCTAAAACTGCTTGATTTGAGATCACTATTATTTTTGTCTTCTCTAAAGGGGAACGGGGTCCAGGGACACACTTGTAATTTTTAACTGTGCTACAGAAGGGAGAAATGCCAAACGGGGAACACTTTCTATTTGGAGAACTCAGGCAGAGCAAGGGCAGGGAAACACAGTTTAGAAGTAGGAGACTTGAAAGAACCAGCCCCAGCTCTCAGCAACCTTCCAGCCCCCTCCCACCACCACCACCAGCCAAAGTTCAGAACGTCAAGAGAGAAAGAAGCTCTGGAGCTGAATATGCCAACCGGTTCATTTTGCAGAGGACAAATCTAAGCCCCAGAGGAACTAAATGACATGCCTAGAACCACACAGCATTTCACTGGGAGATTTAAGCCAAGATAATGTCATGTGACTCCAGTCCAGGGCATGCACCATCACCTCTCAGATCCTCTTGGGATGGGCTACTGATTTTCCAGGACTTGGGGGTCCTCCAGGAGAACTTTTTCTCCCCCCCTGGCACCATTCCTCTTCCTGTCATAATCCCAGAGCTCATCTCTCCTGTTTGTCAGAGGAAGTCAGGAACAAGCCAGAGACAAGGATAGGCAAGAGAAGGAGGTGAGATGCTACCCAGCACACCTGCGCAAAGCAGTTCTGGAGACAGTTCTTGTTATTGGCTCTTAAGAACAATAAGCTCCCAGGAGGGCTTTTTCCTGCCCCTCTCCATCCCTACCTTCACCCTGCTGCTTCTGTGGAATGATAGCCCAGCATGATCAGGAGAATGCCCCACCCAAGGGAACTAGGAATGCTGAGAAACCAGGAACTGCTACTGATTCTTGGGCTTCATCTATTTCCTTGCTTTCAGTAACTCCTCTGACCCCTCCTCTTTTTCAGGTTGACCAAAAGCAGCTTCCAAGATGTCCCAGCAGTACACTCTGCCAGTGATCCTGCCCCCTGCCCTCTCTCAGGAGCCCCTCAAGCCTGCTTCTCCTCCCACCGATACCCAGCAGGAGCAAGTGAAGCAGCCAACTCCACTGCCTGCCCCATGCCAGGAGGTACACTCGGAGCTCCCGGGGGAGGTCCCCTTGGAGCTCAGGGAGAAACACACAATTGTGAAGGGGGTGCCTGAGCAAAAGTGTGAACCAGAGCAAGCAGAGCCAGAGCAGCAAGAACAACATGTGGAACAGCAGCAGCAAGAGTCACAGGTGCAGGAAGTGCATGTGGAGTTGCAGCAGCAAGAGTCTCAGGTGCAGGAACAATATGCGAAGCAGACACAACAAGAATCACAAGTGCCAGAAGTTCATGTGGAGCAGCAACAGCAAGAGTCACAGGTACAGGAAGTGTATGTGGAGTTGCAGCAGCAAGAGTCACAGGTACAGGAAGTGCATGTGGAGCAGCAACAGCAAGAGTCACAGGTGCCAGAAGAGCATGTGAAGCTGCAGCAACAAGAGTTGCAAGTGCAGGAAGTGCATGTGGAGCAACAAGAGTCACAGGTTCCAAAAGTGCATGTGGAACAGCAGCAGCAAGAGTCACAGGTGCCAGAAGAGCATGTGGAGCAGCAGCAGCAAGAGTCACAGGTGCCGGAAGTGCATGTGGAGCAGCAACAGCAAGAGTCACAGGTGCCGGAAGTGCATGTGGAGCAACAACAAAAAGAGTCACAGGTGCCGGAAGTGCATGTGGAGCAGCAACAAAAAGAGTCACAGGTGCCGGAAGTGCATGTGGAGCTGCAGCAGCAAGAGTCACAGGTGCCGAAAGTGCATGTGGAGCAGCAACAAAAAGAGTCACAGGTGCCGAAAGTGCATGTGGAGCAGCAACAAAAAGAGTCACAGGTGCCGGAAGTGCATGTGGAGCTGCAGCAGCAAGAGTCACAGGTGCCGAAAGTGCATGTGGAGCAGCAACAAAAAGAGTCACAGGTGCCGGAAGTGCATGTGGAGCTGCAGCAGCAAGAGTCACAGGTGCCGAAAGTGCATGTGGAGCAGCAACAAAAAGAGTCACAGGTGCCGGAAGTGCATGTGGAGCTGCAGCAGCAAGAGTCACAGGTGCCGAAAGTGCATGTGGAGCAGCAACAAAAAGAGTCACAGGTGCCGGAAGTGCATGTGGAGCTGCAGCAGCAAGAGTCACAGGTGCCGAAAGTGCATGTGGAGCAGCAACAAAAAGAGTCACAGGTGCCGGAAGTGCATGTGGAGCTGCAGCAGCTAGAGTCACAGGAACAGGAAGTGCATGTCCAAAAACAACAGCACGAGCTACAGGAGCAGGAAGTGCAGCAGCAAAAAGAACAGCATGAGGAATATCAGGAAGCAGAACACCTGGGGCTGCAGCTGGAGCAGGAGAAAACACAAAGAGAGCAGCACCTAAAAGGACAGCTGGAACAGGAGAAGGTCTTGGACCAGCAATTGGATCAAGAACCAGCAAAGAGAGAGGAACAACTGGAAAAGAAAGAAGAGCAACTGCTGGAGCAGCAGGAGTGGCAGCTGAAACAGCCTGTGTTTGTCCCAGCTCCCGGCCAGGTCCAAGAGACCCAAACAGTCCTGCCACTGAAGGGAAAAGCCTTGCCCTCTGAGGAAGCAGGAGGTGTAGTGCCTTCTAAACATAAGTAACCACCTGCAGTGTCCAAGAGGCCCCGGAAATCCCATACAAGTGAAAAGAGAGCCAGTGGCCTCGCTTATCTCGGGCCCCCAACCTGGGTGACCCGCCTCATCTGTGAACCTGCCTGACCCTGACCTTCTGCATGTCTCTTTGATAGGGCTGGGGTGCGGGGAGTTATAGCCCAGCATCCACCTCTGACGAGCCCAATCCCAACCTCAGGTGGCCAGAGGCTTTACCTGAGGAGAGAGTGACTATAGCTACTCTGACTACATCCCCACTATTATAGCTGAATCTGTGAGTGTGTACAATAATACAGAATAAATCCTGGAAGGCTTGGAATCCTGTATTTTCTTTGACTTTTTACTCTCTATCACTCACCATATAAAAACCCGTGTGCAGGTTAAAGGTTGAGAATGACTCTCTTGGCCAGTTCCCATAGGTGGACAGATACTCTGACCCCTCTTTGATTCTGTACCCAAACCACTCAATGCATTCAACAGCTTCTAAAAGTGAAATGAAAACAACAGCAAAACAAAAGTTCACTTGTGTACCTAAAAGTAGCACTCAACAGTCAGGTAGAAGGAATGGGTTACCTTGGCTGAGGGAAGAGGATTTATTCATCTCAGTTCAGCCCTGCTTTCCATTATGCCCACTGAACCCAATCCTAGTCCCAGGCTAAAGGTATGGGTAGGGAGTGGGGGCTCCACCTGGGTTCTGGTGCTTGCCCAGATTTTCTCTCCACAGAATGTGCTCATGGTTTCCAAGAGTCTTGGAACTGCTGACATGGTTAAGGAAGACTTTAGGAAAGTAAGGTAGCAGAATTGGGGAAGATGGGGAGAAGAGGGACTTCTGGGACTGGTCTCTGATAGAGAAAATGTCACCAAGGGAAGCAAAGTTTGGGCCAACTGGAATCAGAGGAGCCAATAGCTTGCAGAAATACAGATCTAAGGTCATTGCAGTGGTTTTCCCTCCCTGACATTTCTGTAGCCTTTACTACCTACCATCAACCACATCAGGACATGGGGCTCTTTCCTTCCTGGGAATCACCTTGTGTGTGCACTCAGTCATGCCCGACTCTTTGTGACCCTATGGACTGTAGCCCACCAAGTTCCTCTGTCCATGAAATTTTCCAGACAAGAATACTGGAGTGAGTTGCTATTTCCTCCTCCAGGGGGTCTTCCTGACCCAGGGGTCAAACCCACATCTTCTGCATCTCCTGCATTATAGGCAGATTCATAACTGATGAGCCACCAGGGTTCTGATAATTTAACATCATCTCAGGCAGGTTTTCTCAAGTTACCCAAAGCTGTTTCATCACAATCATGAGCATATGTCAGGGACATCTCTTTTGAGAATGCCATATGCACCCAAAGTCAATGGGTCTGAAAGGCACTTAGTGTCCCTTACTCCCCACCCAACTCCAGTGACACTGTCATTCCTCATTAGGAATTCTCTCTCTTGAGTAATGATACCATCTGTGCATTCACCAAAGCCAGAGAAACCACATCATTCCCTACGCTCATTTCCTCTTCTCCCCTACCCCCACACCAGAGATCAATCCTTGCTACTCCTTCCCACACCCTCCAAGCTTTGACCGAGGTCATTTCTCACCTGAATGATTGCAATGGCCCTCAAGCTGTTCTTTGATCCCTGTGTCCACATACCCAGGAATTCATCCATCACACGGTGAACAGGGTGTTTCATTCAAAATTTTGATCTCAATACTTGGGTGAGAGCCACTCCTTGGGTGGCTGTCATTATTTAGAGGATGAGATTGCAGGCTCAAGTCCTCCTAAGAGGACAAGAGTTAAAAGGAAGCTTGGGTAGAACTGGGTGGGAAGATTGGGGGCACAGGGAGAAGTAATTAGAAACACCCAGAATGTGCAATTTTTTTTGAAGTCCTAGGTTTTGATTTGTAATAGACTTTTTGGTGGTTCTTTTCTTTTTAAAAAAATTTATTTATTTAACTAGAGTAGATGTACAATACTGTGTTACTTTCAGGTGTACAACTTCAGACTCTTTCCTATTGTAGGTTATTACAAGATATTGAATAGAGCTCCATGTACTATACAACAGAACTTTATTGTTTATAGATTTTATATATAGCAGAATGTATAAAATACCTTTTTTTCAGAATAGCTTTTGATTTATGAAAAGGTCAAGAAGATAGTACAGAGAGTTACTTTATACTTTACACCCAGTTTCCCTTGTTATTAACACCTTATATTAGTATGGCACATTTATTATTATAATTAGCAAAACAGTAGTGGTACATTATTATTAGCTGAAGTTCATGGTTTATTCCAGTTATTTTAGTCTTCACCTGATGCCTTTTCCTGTTTCAGGATCCCATCTAGGATACCACACTACTGTCTTGTTGCCTTAGGCTCCTCTTGACTGTGATGGTTCCTCCGACTTTCTTTGGTTTTTGATGACCTTGATAGTTTTGAGGCGTCCTGGTCTGGTATTTTATAGAATATCCCTCAGTTTGGGTTTGTCTGATGTTTTCTTCATGGTTTGACTGGAGTTATTGTTTTTTAGGAGGAATACCATAGAGGTAAACTGCCTTTTTCATTACATTATATAATTATTCACATGATTTATTACCTTGATCACCTGGCTGAGGTAGTATATATCAGGCTTCTCCACTGTAAAATTACTGTCTTTGCCCTCCCTCCCAACATCCCATCTGACTATACTGTATTCTTTGGAAGGAAGTCATTCTGCAAAGCCCACAATTAAGAAAGAATTGAGGAGTTAAGCTCCCTGTCACTGAAGATGGAGTATCCTCATAAATTATTTTGAATTATCCATATAGGAGACATATTTATTTCCTCTCCTTATGTATATATGGATGTGTATATGTTTGATGTGTATATGGGTAGATGTGTTTGATCATTTATTTATGTCAGCATGTACTCATTAATATTTTGTTTTATACTTTGGGTTATACTCCAGTAGTACTTTATTTTTTATTGTGGTAAATTACTCATGACATCAAATTTCATGTATTAATCATGTGCAGTTCAGAGGTTTTAAGTACATTCATGTTGTTGTGCAACCGTCACCACCATCCCTCTTGCAAGACTGAAACTCTGTACCTATTAAACAATAATTCCCCATGACCTTCTCCCTGCAGCCCTCAGCAACCACCATTCTCCTTTCTTTCATTTTTAAAAATCTCCCCTTTCCCCCTACACCCCTGCTTCTTATAACCACTACTCTGCTCTACGCTACTATAAATTCAGCTTCTTTGGGGTCACAAATTTCATCTCCCTTTCTGAGATTAAATTTGCTGTTGCTGTTTAGTCTCTAAGCCATGTCCAACTCTTTTGTGACCCCATGGTCTGTAGCCCTCCAGGCTACTCCATGGAATTTTCTAGGTTGCCATTTCCTTCTCCAGGGGATCTTCCCAACACAGGGATTAAACCCACATCTCCTGCATTGGCAGGTGGCTTCTTTACCACTGAGCCACCAGGGAAGTCCAAATTATATATATATATATATATATATATATATATATACACACACACACACACACACACACACATTATAATATAACATCATATATCACATTTTCTTTACCCATTCATCCATTGCCATTTAAGTTGTTTCCATATCTTGATTATCATTAATAATGCTGAAATGAACATGGGATATCTCGTCAAGATACTGATTTCATTTCCTTTGTGTATATACCCAGAAGGGGTATTGCTGAATCATATGGCAGCTTTAGTTTTAAATTTTTGAGGAAACTTCATACTGTTTTCCATAATAACTATAGCAATTGCATTCCTACCAACAGTGTACAAGGATTATCTTTTCTTCACATTCTTGCCAACACTTGTTAGCTTTTGACATTTTTATAATAGCAGTTCTAACAGGTGTAAGAGGATATCCCACTGTGGTTTGATTTGCATTTCCCTGTTGATAAGTGATGTTGGGAACCTTTTCATATACCTGCTGGAAACAGCATGATATTGACATAAATAGAGACACATGGATCAAAGAAACAGATTGGAGAAACTAGAAATAAATCCATGCTTATGTGGTCAATTAATTTTTTTTTTGGTCAATTAATTTTTGACAAAGACACCAAGAATACAAGATGAGGAAGGATAGTCTCTTCAACAAATGGTGTTGAGAAAACTGGATATTCAGTGCAAAAAAATAAAATCAGACTCTCAGAATGATACACAAAAGTCAACCCAAATGGATTAAAGACTTAAAAGCAAGACCTAAAACCAATTTATCTAGAGAATAAGTTCCTTGGCAGTGGTCTTGGCTATAATAGTATAGTCTGTCACCAAAAGGAGTTTGTTCACATCCAAAATATATAAGGAACTCATACAAATTAAAAAAAAAAAAGAAAACAAACGAAAAATCCGATTTTAAAATGGGCAAAAGATCCAGATAGTACTTTCTTTATTTTGGGCAAAGGACCTGAATAGTATTTTATTTTGTTGCTTAAATTGTTCCAGCTTTGGCCATTAGGAGATCTTTCAATTGATTTCTGTGTCCGTGGTTAAACATCAAAATGGAGTTTTTAGTTTTTCTTTTTCCTTTGTTCCTTTGATTTTTTGAGCATCCCATCCTTTCTGGCACTACGAGGTACTCCAGGCTTATCATGTATATTTGTGCCCCAATCCTAGAGTTAACAAATTCTTCAAGGAGTCCTGTTTGATTTTACTGGAGAATGCCATTAAAAACCAAGATCTGTTATGCTCACTTTTACTAGTTTATTGTTTCTTTTGGGTCCACTCAATTCACATAGGAAATATATGTATGTGTACTAACATGTATGTGTATGTGTGCATGAGTGTGCATTTCTATATATAACCACCTGTATTTATATTAAGCTAAACATAGTTCATACCATCATCTCCAACTATAATCCTTAACCACATGAATCATTCTAGCCTCTTTCTCATATGTAAATTCCAACTCCAACAGTGAAAAATGTCACACCTACCATCCATCTTCTTAATTGTTCATTTCTAGTGTACATTCA